CTGACACTCTGTATAATAATAATCCAATAATCTGTATTTCACTAATTCTAGACCGATGCACTCTAATAAAGAAACACAGTTTCTCAAACTGTCAGGATGTAGAGCTGTTTGGTATTTTAACACACATTTAACTAGCAGCCCCCTTCTCGGCCGATGTAATATTAATCACAGCAGGAAACGGTTTGCACCATGAAACTTACCATAAACAGTTTAAATGGTTATTTTCACCCTTTATTTTTTTTTTTATTCTACTTTTAGCCTCCTTTCGCCCTCCCCCTCCCTCCAGTCACACAGCACCCATCTCCTGCTGGGATAAATCATTTATTGGGATTGAAATGGATTTCTGAGTGAAACCTCCCTCAGTACACCTTGCTTACTATCTCCCCACCTCGTCCAGTGGCCCCTGTCATCCGGCCCCATTAAACCAGGACGACTCATCACTCTGCTGGGCTGTGACAGAGCCTTAAATACTCTGCAATGAGCCTCAATAGGCATCGCAACCAGTCTCATCCCAACCAATTTAGCATAGCAGGGAACATCTGAGAGGCCGCAGCCCAGCCAGACGCAGACGGAAATTGGAAAATTGGTTCTAGATATTCCTATAATGTGTGTTTAGATTTATCCCATTAAATGTCTCTCCATTACACGAGGAGGTGCGGTTTTTGAGGCTGTAAAACACAGAACAGGCCTGTCTTCATCCGGATCTCGACAGTCACAGGAGAGCTGCGTCTTAGTGATAGGAACTCATAGTTTGTTTAATTACTTATTGTGATAAACAATACAACCAGAAACTAACTGAGATTAAACAATCCCAGGGCAATGAAAAATCTACTTCCTAGACAATGGTTTATAATTGTACTTGTAATACACATATTTATATCTAATAGCTAATGTATAATTATAAAACTCCCATCAACTCTCAAGTACTCCCAATCCGCTTCCGGTACTCCCACCACTCCCATCACTCCAAGAGGACATAGTCTTAAATAAGAGGGACAAAGGTTTAAAAATAATATCAGGAAGTATTACTTTACTGAGAGGGTAGTGGATGCATGGAATAGCCTTCCAGCTGAAGTGGTAGAGGTTAACACAGTAAAGGAGTTTAAGCATGCATGTGATAGGCATAAGGCTATCCTAACTATAAGATAAGGCTAGGGACTAATGAAAGTATTTAGAAAATTGGGCAGACTAGATGGGCCGAATGGTTCTTATCTGCCGTCACATTCTATGTTTCTATGTTACTCCGCACGACTCTCAAATGATGCCCAGACCTCTCAGGATGTCTCCCAGCTGGCTTGTACAGGCGCGTCTATTACAGAATTCACTTCTCAGCAACATGACCGGTGTATAGTCGCCATAGGGGCAGTCGGAACCTAGGACAAAACCCCCCCACATACCTACTTCCAATAACACGCTGACACTAGGGTATATGGGTCAAATTGTCCACAGCTTTTATTAAACAATTATAATAATAATGATAATAAGTTTATTAATAATAACAATTATAATAATATAATAATAATTCAATATATAAACATGCGTCATTGCCCCCATACTCCGCCCTCGCATCCGCATCCTTCTTTTAATATAAAAGGCAATGACCCCAACATAACTAACACATATATATCTCTAACAATTTTCAACCTTACTCCAACATAACAATTTAAGTGCCAACCATAAGTAACCACGGCAGGGGTATACCCGGATACCCCTACCCCACCAGGTTCTGAGCCACCTCCAGGACTCGAAACCTACCACAATTTTCCATGTTCATCACGTTCTTCATGGGAGCCTATTTCCTCTTCCTCAGCTCCCTATCCCGCCGCTGTGACAAAACGGGATACCCCCATTTAACTGAAATCCAGGGAGGGTGGGCGGGACAAACTCGACCAGGTAGGAGATTAAATGTGCTCCATCCAAAAATGGCTACTTATTTAAGTAGACAAACCCCTTTTACCCACAACCCACCAGTCCTGGCCGATTCCTCCTAAGCCCGCCTCCTAACCCCTGTCAAGGCCCTCTTCCGCTAAGCTGTGCTTTGGCTACATGGGGCTACAGACTTTTCCTCTTCAGTGCTTCTCTACCAAAAAATATCAGCTACCCGTTAAAGGGTAACTAAAGAGTTAACAGTGAATTGAAGTGGTTATAGTGTCCGGAGTCTGTATGTGCCACGGTTCGCTTTGAAACAATGCACATACTGAGTTTAACCCCATTTGCTGCCAGAGGTGTAACTCCATCTCCTGTAGAGCCATTAAATTGTCACCAGACAGCTCGGAGACAGAGTTCCAGGATGGCTAATGTAAATTCTGTGCAAATTTGGATCCACAGAATCTAATGCATTGGCTGAGAGTGATGAGATGATGCTCTCGGCTAATAAATGGATCTTCTGAAGCTGGATGTCGTAATCTGCTTGAGAGGACATTTGGCTCCCAGCAGGACCCAGAAAGAGGGAACTGCGCCAGGGTATTACAGCGGACTGCAGGGGTTATGGTGTAACCCTTTAATTCCCATCATAGGCATGCGCACGGGGTGTGCCAGGTGTGCCTGGGCACACCCTAATCCCAGCGGCATGCCTATGTATATTGAGACGGGCAGGGGAGATCTCAGGATCTCCCCTGTCGGCTCATGCAGAACAGGCGCTATCAGGCAGGGAGGGAGGCAGGAGAAGACCCGGGGAGCTCTTGCCAGTAGCTCCGCCGGGTTCCTCTTGTGGGATTCTGAGCGTTGCCGTGACAACGCTCAGGTCTCACAAGAGTGAACTCTAGCCCCGCAGGCTAGAGTTTACTCTCCACTGGACCACCAGGGATGGAAGCAGCAGAAAGGATCCCCCCGCCCAGGCATAAGGTAGGAAGGGAGGGGGATATTTACTAAACGGCCCCCACACAATCACACAATACACACAATCACCCAAACATACAGCACCCACATACAGCACCCCCCACACATCCTTACACACACACACTAACAGCACCCTCACACACACACTAACAGCACCTTCACACACATAGCACCCTTACACACACAGCACCATCACACATACACACTAACAGCACCCTCACACACACAGCACCCTTACACACACACACACTAACAGCACCCTCACACACACAGCACCCTTACACACACACTAACAGCACCCTCACACACACAGCGCCTTCACACACACACACACACACACACACAGCGCCCTTACACACACAGCGCCCTTACATACACAGCGCCCTTACACACACAGCACCCTTACACACACAGCGCCTTCACACACACAAAGCGCCTTCACACACACACACAGCGCCCTTACACACAGCGCATTCACACACACAGCGCCCTTACACACACAGCGCCTACACACACACACAGTGCCCACACACACACACGGTGCCCCCCCACACACACCCAGCAGTATATGTGTGTGTATATATATATATATATATACACGCACAGCGTGTGTTCGTGCTTTAGGATGCACACCCTTATACAATAGGCTGCGAACGCCTATGATTCCCATCCCAACTCCGCACATTGTGTTACATAACTGCTGACTACATGGCCACCTCCGTTTGAATTCTTAGTCTGCTGCTTCCGTATTTAATTCATTTATAGAAATAATTTTGTAAGACTCTGTGCACTTGATCCTACCTTCTAGGTAAATGGTACATATACGTCTAGTGTAATCATAAACTGTAAGTTTGTTTAACCAAGGTCATCTTGTTTTATATCAGTTCGCCTCGTGTTTTGTCACTTTTACATTCATGTCTCTCTCTCTATATATATATGTATTGAAAAAAAATGTAAACTGCCTAAGAAAGTGGGTAGCAGGTCTTAATTCCTTGTGACACTCAGGATTACTTGTGCCGAACAATAATAGATTATTAGTACATAGTATGTGTGTGTCCATGCTTTAAATTGAGACAGAAGCTTTCATGGAGGAGAATGGTAAAAGTCAGAAATAAAAGATTATGTCAAGCGAGCAGGGAGGATGATGCGGGAACATGAAATAATTAGAAACTCAAAACTGGGGACACTAATAACAAGAATGCTGGACCGTACATCATGGCAATAATCTAACGGACTGACACACTCATTCAATAAAGTGACAAATCGAAGTGAATTCCAAATTCGAGGTCAGAGGAGCGGAATTGAAAGCATCGCTGACTTAGAGAATTTTTCTTTTTTGACCCGAAATTTTTAATTCTCTTTAAATTCTCACTTTAGTAAATAATCCTTTTTTATCACACTGCTACTTAAACGATTCACTGACAACTTTTTATTGCAAAGTTCTACCACTGTATGTAAGTGTCTGCTTACTGCAGGGAATTGGCTTTATCTATGGAGGATCCCACGGTCTCACTGGATCATCCATAGACCTCAATGCTGTACTCTTGCACATGCGCAAAAATTCAGCAGTGGCTTCAACACCCAGCTCTGAAGTGCCAGGATCTGGAGAGAACACGCTGGGAGAAGATGGTGGCACATCACACGAGGGACAGATTCAGGTATGTAGAACTCACCTATGCCTGCCCCCCCCGGCCATTGGACCCCTTAGTGGCGATGTCATTGTTGGGGGTCTTTGGAAATTCTGAAAAATCCCCCGATGGCGACAGTGCTGCTTTAATCTTGTATTATTTATATAAATATTGGGGTAAAAAGTTTCAGATATTATCACCGATTTAATATTTTTGAATATGCTTATCAAATGATTTAATATTTGTCCTTTATGCAGTGCGTCATTCTGACAGTGTCCCATCTCTTTCTGATGCAGTACGTCATTCTGACACTGTCCCATCTCTTTCTGATTCAGTGCGTCATTCTGGCACTGTCCGATGTCTTTCAGATGCAGTGCATCATTCTGACACTGTCCCATCTCTTTCTGATGCAGTGCGTGATTCTGACACTGTCCCATCTCTTTCTGATGCAGTGCACCATTCTGACACTGTCCCATCTCTTTCTGATGCAGTGCGTCATTCTGACACTGTCCCATCTCTTTCTGATGCAGTGCGTCATTCTAACACTGTCCCATGTCTTAACTGATGCAGTGCGTCATTCTGGCACTGTCCCATGTCTTTCTGATGCAGTGTGTCATTCAGTCCCATGATTTTCTGATGCAGTGTGTCTTTCTGATGCAGTGCGTCATTCTGACACTGTCCCATGTCTTTCTGATGCAGTGTATCATTCTGACACTGTCCCATGTCTTTCTGATGCAGTGCGTCATTCTGACACTCTCCCATCTCTTTCTGATGCAGTGCGTCATTCTGGCACTGTCCCATCTCTTTCTGATGCAGTGCGTCATTCTGGCACTGTCCCATCTCTTTCTGATTCAGTGCGTCATTCTGACACTGTCCCATCTCTTTCTGATTCAGTGCATCATTCTGACACTGTCGCATGTCTTTCTGATGCAGTGAGTCATTCTGACACTGTCCCATCTCTTTCTGATACAGTGCGTCATTCTGACACTGTCCCATCTCTTTCTGATGCAGTGCGTCATTCTGGCACTGTCCCATCTCTTTCTGATGCAGTGCGTCATTCTGACACTGTCCCATCTCTTTCTGATGCAGTGCATCATTCTGGCACTGTCCCATGTCTTTCTGATGCAGTGCGTCATTCTGACACTGTCCCATGTCTTAACTGATGGTGTGCGTCATTCTGGCACTGTCCCATCTCTTTCTGGTGCAGTGTGTCATTCAGTCCCATGACTTTCTGATGCAGTGCGTCATTCTGGCTCTGCCCCATCTCTTTATGATGCAGTGTGTCATTCTGGCACTGTCCCATCTCTTTCTGATGCAGTGGGTCATTCTGACACTGTCCCATCTCTTTCTGATGCAGTGCGTCATTCTGACACTGTCCCATCCCTTTCTGACACTGTCCCATCTCTTTCTAATGCAGTGCGTCATTCTGACACTGTCCATTTCTTTCCGATGCAGTGTGTCATTCTGACACTGTCCCATCTCTCTGATGCAGTGCGTCATTCTGACACTGTCCCATTGTGGCAAAAGTAACCTCGCCACTTCTACTTGGAGGGGCCTGTGTTTTTAAGGTACTTTTTGGGGTTTCATAAAATTGTATGTTTTTCTGTGCTTGGAGATAATTGGGTTATTCACTTTGTGTGCCTGTGCCCAACAAGGTCCACCTGGGTGTCACCCTTGTTGGGAAACTTGCATAAAAGGCCAGTGTGCCTCCATTAAAACTCAGTTCCTGCTTAACCCTCAACATGTAGCTTGGTCTCGTGATTGGAGGGGAACTGCTATATTCACTCTGGGGATTGCTACACTCCCCTGGGTTCAAATCACCAGCTCTTGTAAAAGCTGTTCCTGCTACGCTTTCTGAAGTAGGAGAGGTCTTTCCCACAGGGTCCTGGATATCCGAGGTTGATCCAGGGTGGGAGGAAGATGGTGAGATCCCAGCTAAGCTACTGCGGTTGTGGGTGCGGTGCTTGTGGTGTCCGGTTTGGTGTTTACAGTCCTCAGCGTCAGCTAGGAAGCATCTTTTGGCAAAGGTGCCCAGTCGGGGTGCCAGGTGATCCGTTACACCCATCTCTTTCTGATGCAGTGCGTCATTCTCACACTGTCCCATGTCTTTCTGATGCAGTGCATCATTCTGACAATGTCCCATCCTTTCAACAATCCCCCACATAAACCTTTTGTCATCACTGGCCAAGAGCATTTCAGGTCCACCAACATATTCTGTCTGTTCTGTGCCGTACTATGGTTCTTTTTACTTTTTTTGTGGCTTTCATTGCTTCTGATGGGGTTCTGTTTCACTCATTTGATTTCTGGTACCGTTTGACCTCAGCGTGCCTTACCATCTCCTTTCTGTACTTCTAAACCTTGACCTGCTTCTGACTTTGCTTCACCTGCCTGCGGGTGTATCTTAGTCCTCCTCTCATTAATCCCACCCCACGCTAAGGACCAGTTATCCGTAAATATCCGGTTTTTCCTCTGTTGGGATTCTGTTTTGTTGTCCTATTCTCTGCATGTTGATACTGAATCCTGACAACTAGTGAATGATATCATCCATATTTTCTTCATTTTCTAGTTCATCGAAGAACATTTACCAGCCTCAACATATCCAGAGAGAATAGTATGCCAAATGCATGGACTGTAGAATGTACTAAATGTACTGCCTCTGCGACTTATTCGTTGTTGTATTATTTTATGTTTATAAAGGCAGGAGAACCTCGTTAATGATAAATGTAGCAGCCACGGGTCTCCAGAACACTTTGATTAAATTAAGCTGAATCTAATGCTAGTAAATGACTCTCATTTGAAAGCTTTTTCAGATGTTTTTACGGATGAAGCTCGCTCACTCCGTAGTTTGGCTCTAAAGAAAGCCATGGCCCACTAGAGCGGAAATTGTGCTGGTCCGAGGAACCGCTAACGGGTAATCCAAAACATTGTGTTCAGTGCTAATTAGGTTTGTAATCTTGCTTAACTAAGTTTGTAACATCGTACAGAAGGCATCTCACTCAGGCATCTGCGCAAATTAACCCCTTGAGTACTCTGCCGGTCACTAACAGAAAATGCTGCATCTGGGATCCCAAACTGGAATCGTTACTTGGTATTTTTTAATGTTTTCTTTAAACAAAGCCTTCAGGGAAAATGTTGACTTTGATACAAATTCCTTTATTTATTTATTTATTAATTGTTTTATGGACGTTGAGCCATGTAACTGAGTTGTAGAAGCCTTTCTCAATTCAAGCCCCCCATTTTTACATCTGCTGAGGATGCAAACTCTCTGTCGTGTTCACTTGAGTGCCTGCCTACACGATATCACCGACGGCTTATTTGCATTCTCTAGTGCCAGTTTGGCTGCAGCTGTGCCCAGGGTGACCACACTGAAATACCACTGCAAACAAACTCACATTGGTGACTTGAGTCAGATAATACCTTGGCTCTTGTAGTCCTGTTTCCATTCAGGTTACAAGTCAGTGAGATAGCTCAGTGGATAGGGTTTGATTCTCAGATTTCTCATCCGGTTATTGCTGTTAAATAATAATGCCGAGTAGCATTTGGAGAGTGTCTTCGTACATTGTCTAATATTGGCTTGGCATGTCACAACCAGAGAAGAAAAAAATAAATACATTTTAGAGGCAATACCAGTTAAAGGAGCACTCTACTGCCCAAATAAATAACTTTGAAGCTCGAGACTGAAATACTGAGAGTGGGATTATTTTTCCACATATACTATTTTATCATTGTTGTTGTTCCCCAAGGTTCTGTCCTTGGTCCCCTACAGTTCTCTATCTATACTGCTTCCCTAGGTAAACTCATTAGCTCCTTTGGCTTCCATTATCATTTTTATGGAGATGACACACAAATCTACCTGTCCTCTCCTGATCTCTCTCTGCCCATCTTAACTCGTGTCTCTGATGGCCTCTCTGCGATTTCCAACTGGATGACTGCTCAGTTCCTTAAACTCAGCCTATTCAAAACAGAACTTCTGGTCTTTCCTCCCTCAAGTGTTGCTACTCCCGTGTCTGTCTCCCTCCAAGTCAACAACGCTACCATCACCTCTACCTCACAGGCTCGCTGCCTAGGTGTTTTCTTTGACTCCGATCTCTACATCACACCTTATGTCCAGGCGATCGTCAAATCCTGACGCTTCCATCTCAATAAACATAGCTCGCATCTGCCCCTATTTAACACCAAACGCAGCTAAGGTGCCATTGTTCTATCTCACCTTGACTACTGCAATCCTCTTCTCAGTGGTCTTACGTGTTCCCAGATTGCACCGCTGCAATCTATAATGAATGTGGTGGCTCATTTTTCTGTCTGCCCGCACCTTTCACGCCTCCACGCTCTGTCACTCCCTACATTGGCTTCCTGTTAGATATAGGGCTCAATTTAAGATTCTGGTGCTTGATTACAAGTCCCTACATAATGCTGCTCCAACCTACCTATCCTCCCTAATACACAAGTATGTCCAGTTGAGGCCCCAGCGCTCTGCTGAAGAACTACCCCTATCCTCTGCTTGTGCTCCCACAACTGATGCTCGCCTCCAATATTTCTCCAGGGCTACACCTTTTCTGTGGAACTCATATCTCGTCTCCGTTAAACTTTCACCCAGTCTCCACTCCTTCAAAAAATCTTTGAAAATACACTTGGTCAGGAAAGCATATAATGTGAACTGTTAGCGGGTTTTCATCCATCCCCCCTCCCATGACTCCTGTCCTGCAACTGTCAAAAATAACCTACTAAGTTCTCAGTGATTACTTTTCTAGCAACCTATTTCATTACCCCTACTTATACCCTTTGTGTCACTATACCCCACTCCCTCTAGCATGTAAGCTCATTGAGCAGAGCCATCAACCCCTCTGTTCCTGTGTATCCATTTGTCTGGTTACAACTACATGTCTGTTCGTCCACCCATTGTACAGCGATACGGAATTTGCTGGCTCTATTTAAATATTAAAATAATAATAGTAATAATCGTAAGGGAGTGTCTGACAAGTGTTTAATGTCCGTATACTGGTAAATCTTGTTTGGAGTTAGAGAGCAGAGGTCGGTGAGCAATGTTGGTGGACGTTCTGCAATCGTCAATCTGCTGGCTGATGCTAGGGTTTCCATGATATATAGAACCTCCCATGTATGGTACAGCTGACCAATAAAGACCACAAGGAACAAACTGAACAGACAGCGAAACATACTGGGTTATTCACTAAAGGGAGAATTTAAAGTGAGTTTCAAATATTAAGCCAAAGTAACCGAATCTGGAGCATATCTGACTACAGCAAGCATGTCAAACTCAAAGGCTAAAACGGGCCAAATAAACAAGATTTAGGTTCATGTGGACCGCAAAAACAAAAGAAAAACTTTAGTTTTCATAGAAACGTAGGTTTGTTTAGCAAAGTACGGCATAAAAAAAGTTGCCTAACTGAAGCCCTACGAGCGTGAGGATGTCCAGTGTCAAAGTAAACAAAATCGCTAATTTATTTTAAGGAGACGTGCATTTGCATATAACCAACGTTTCAGACCTTGACATATTAAGAAAAGTTTGGTAATGGGACTGAAATTGTGAATGTATGCCGCTGCACAGCTATAAAAAACAAATGACGTTATCTTGTTTATTTTGAAGCCCTAGGAGTGTTTTCTTCATTTTGGCTGAGATCATCAAACTTGATGATCTCAGCCAATCCAATGCTTTCCCATAGGAAAGCATTGGGAGGCTATTGTGCATGTGTGGCAAAAAGCTGCGCAGCCAAGCAGCACCTCCATGCAGATCCAATCTAATACTGCACCCTCCTCCCCATTCTAATACACTGCCCACAAATCCAATACACTGCCTCCCTCCCTCCACTCTAATACACTGCCCCCTAATCTAATACACCGCCCCCTCCCACCACTCTAACTGAATACACTGCACCCACTCCCTCCCCCAAATTAATACACTGCCCCCAACACTCCCCTAAATTAATACACTGCCCCCTTCCTCAAATTAATACACTGTCCCCCCTCCCCAATTTACTACACCGGCCCCCACCCTCAAATTAATACACTTCCACCTCCCTCCCTCAAATTAATACACTGCCTCCCCTCCCCAATTTACTACACCGGCCCCCTCCCTCCCTCAAATTAATACACTTCAACCTCCCTCCCTCAAATTAATACACTGCCCCCCCCGC